TTTAATAGGCTAATATTAACATAGGGTTTTTGGTTTAAGAGGGTTGTAATTATTATCTTATACAATAAAAGCTTAATATGCAAATTGTCCACTCGATCAGGAGTTCAACTGCTTGCTATGACGTGCGCTGACCATCAGGGGGTGGTTTGTAACATGGTGGGCATTGATGACATGGCATTGGCATCAAGCAGCAGTGGAGGCACTACCGGCCCCAATGGGCCCCAATAGACCCCAATGAGTGTGGACCATGGAGGAATGATAGAGCAGGAGAGCAGGCAGTGCCAAGTCCAGGCAAGTGCGAGTGGAGACCAATTCCCTGCTGATCATCCTGCAGACAGCAACCAGGGGTGGCAGCAGGGGGCTACCAGGGTATGGGGGCCCAGGTGCTGCCCAGGGCCCAGAGGTAAGCTGGGACTTGCCCTTCCATGCCAGACTCTTGAGCTTCGATTGCCCACCAGGCCTAGGGACTGCACCTGTGCATGAATTTCATGCACTGGGCCTCTAGTCCTATATAATTCTATATAATAAAGAGCTAATATGCTAATTAGACTGAATAGCAGAATGACTATCCAGACGACCTTCCGGGCGACCATCTGGATGATCTTCTGGACAAAGCTGGGGCTGTGAGGGCCAAACCCCTTGCACGAATTTCATGCATAAGGCCTCTAGTATAATATATAAAAGTGAGCACTTACTATTGAAAATATTTTTCAAATATATTTCTAAAGGCTTGACATGTATCTATTCAATTCTTGAAGCAACTCAGTGATGTAAGTATTCTTATCATTTCCTGTTATAGATGAGAAATAGAATATGTAATTTCCCCAAAGTTATAAAGCTAGCTAGCTAATGGTAGAGCCTGAATTTAAATGGAAGTCATTGTTTCAGACTGTATGCAGACTTGTCAATCAAAGACTGGGATCTCTTTTATCAAACTTCCTGCTGCAGCAGAAACCCTTTCCAGAGTTTTTCCACATGGTTGCTTTAGTCACTACTATAAGTGTCTACCCCCCTCACTAGACTGTGGGCTTCCTGAGGAAAAGAATTGTGTCTGACCATGAGGCCAGTCTTATCACAGAGAAAAATGAAATGAAACACCAATTTAACAACCCAATTCATTGAAAATTTATTTATATCCTAAGTCAGGTAAATAATGTTGAAGGGAAGATCCCATTTACCAGACAGAAGAAACCATTTCTTTTGGTAGTTTGTTCATTTTTTTTTTCTTCATTAGATTCCACATATGAGTGACATCATCCAGTAATTGATATTCTCTGACCTGCTTATTTCACTTAACATAATACTTTCCACATCCCTCTATGCTGTTTCAAAGCTGTTAGAAGTCCTTTTTATAGCTGCATAGTATTCCATTGTGTAAATATACCACAATTTAAAATCCATTCATCTACTGATGGGAATTTGGGCTATTTCCAGATCTTAACTATTGTAAATAATGCTGCTATAAATATATTCTTTCTGATTGGTGTTTCATGTTTCTTAGGATGTATTCCTAGAAGTGGGATCACTGGTCAAATAGCTATTACATTTTTAATTTTTGAGGAAACACTATACTGTTTTCCATAGTGCTTGTAATAGTCTGAATTCCCACCCGCAGTGTACTAGGTTCACTTGTCTCCACGTCCTGCACCAGTACTTGTTTGTTGATTTATTGATGATAGTGATTCTGGTGGGTGTGAGGTGATGCCTCATTGTCATTTTAATTACCTCTCTCTGATGATTAGTGATTTTGAGCATTTTTCATATGTCTCTTGGTCATTTGTATGTCCTCTTTGGAAAAGTGTCTATATAGTTCTTCTGTCCATTATTTAATTGGGTTGTTTGTTTTCCTTTTGTTGATTTATATGAGTAATGCATATATTTTTAAATTTAACCCCTTATTGGATGTATCACTGGCAAATATATTCTCCAATCCAGTGGGTTCCCTTTTAAATTTATTGCTGGTTTCTTTTGCTGTACAGAAACATTTTCATTTGATGTAGTCCCATTTGTTTATTTTTTCCTTTGTTTCTCTTGAAAATTCTGCTATGGGAGCTGTCTGATATTTTGCTGCCTATATTTTATTCTATGATTTTTATGGTTTCATGACATACATTTTAAAAAAATCTTTATTGTTCAGATTATTACAGATTTCCTCTTTTTCTCTCCACAGATCCCCCCACCCAGTTCCATTCCAACCCCAGGCCCTTACCCCTCCCACACTGTCCTCGTCCAAAGGTGTAAGCTCTTTATCCAATCTTTTCTCACACCCCCTCACCCCATACCCCGGAGAATTCTCAGTCTGATCCATTTTCATGCCCCTGATTCTATTACATTCACCAGTTTGTTCTGTTCATCAGATTTTTTATTCATTTTATTTTTAGATTCATTTGTTGATAGCTATGTATTTGTTGTCACTTTGTTGTTCATAATTTTTTATCTTTACCTTTTTCTTCCTCTCTCTCTTCTTAAAGTATACCCTTCAGCATTTCATATAATACTGGTTTGGTGGTGATGAACTCCTTTAGCTTTTTCTTGTCTGGGAAGCACTTTATCTAACCTTCAATTATAAATGCTAGCTTTGCTGGGTAGAGTAATCCTATAGGTTCTTGCTATTCATCACTTTGAATATTTCTTGCCACTCCCTTCTGGCCTGTATAGTTTCTGTTGAGGAATCAGCTGACAATCGTATTGGTACTCCCTTGTAGGTAAGTATCTGCTTCTCTCTTGCTGCTTTTAATATTCTTTTTGTCTTTTGCTCTTGGAATTTTAATTATGATGTGTCTTGGTGTGGTCCTCTTTGGATTCCTCTTGTTTGGGGTTCTGTGCGCTTTCTGGACTTGTAAGTCTATTTCTTTCACCAAGTGGGGGAAGTTTCTGGCATGGGGTTGAGACCCTTCATACCTCATTGGGAACATTTACAGCTGAGATATCCTTCCAGGATTATAGCTGCTGCTGGTAGGAGTTATGCCAGCTCTTTTCTTATCTCCACCCTTCCTACAAGTCTCAATGTAGCTCCTGTAAATCCTCCATTATAAGACTTCTGTTCAACTAGTCTTCATTTGATCATTCAGGTTTATTGTTCTATATTTTAGTTGTAATTCAAGTTTGGTACTATGGAGGGTGAATGTAACATCTGTCTACTCTGCTGCCATCTTGGGTCCTCATACAACTTTTTAAAATTAGAATGAAGAAGTTCACTCACTTTGTTATATTAAATGAATGATATCTAACTTATAGTAAATAAAAATGAATGAAGGTTATCTCTCTCTCAGAAATGAATTAAGGTTAAAAATTATGTGTAGAATACTGCTATTTGTGTGAAAAGAGTGCACTCTTTGGGTGCTTTTATATATATAATTTGAAATAATACAGAATAAACTCATAACAGTATAACATTTCCTGCTTTCAGGGAGGGAAACTGTGTTGCTGAGAGACAGAGATAGAAGAGAGACTTTCACTGTACAATTTATGCCTTAAAATTTTGAACCTTGTATTTGTATTATTTTTCAAAATAAATACAGTGGAAAAAATTTGACATATTAAAAATTCCATACATATTTATATAAACATATAAAAATAAGAAGATTTGGAATGATACACATCAAATACCAAACCAAACAGGTATTATATCTTAGAAACGGAATGTGGAAAGTTAGACTTCTGTGTGTGGTGGATATTTACTTTATGCTGCTTAAATTTCAAATGGAGGTTTCCTAATTAAACAAATCAACCACATAAAAAAGTCCTATACTATAGGGCTAAGACACTGGACGAAGATAGTACAGTTGTTTCTTTTTAAAATAAATCTAGCCATAATGTATGAAACTTTCAGCCCTATTAACATCTTTGTAACATAATTTCCTTGAGTCTCTCTGATGGATTGAGGAAATAAGAACTTGTGTGCACCAATAAAAGTCAAGAAATGCAAAATCCAATATATAGAAAATGAATAATAGAATTGTATACTTTAAGCATATAATTTTATCAACCAATGTTACCCCAGTCAATTAAAAACATTATTAAAGAAAGTAATCAGCTATGGTTGGTATGACTCATTTGGAGCATCATCTGGTACATCAAAAAGTTGCAGAATAATTTCCCTGTCAGGTCACATACTCAGGTTGTGGGTTCGATCCCTGGTAGGTGTGTGTGTGTGGGAGACAGCTGATGGATTTTTCTCTCTCACATCGATGTCTCCCTGTATCTCTTAATTCCTCTCTCTCTAAAATAATTTTTTAAAAGTATGTAAAAAGGAAATAATAAGACCTTTCCATGAAAGTACTCAAAATTAAACAGTAAACTAATCTTTAATCCCATAATGAAGTCTATGAAGAATACTGAAACTTCCCATATAGGAGGCAAAGAATATACAAAGAAAAGCAGTGGAGAACCACTTTTACAATTGTCTTAAAGGTACAACTAATATTTCAATAGTGTGCATTCTTTGGAGCTACTAAAAAGACCTTGTGATTTAGAGCCAGTAATACACACTTAAAAATCTGGTTACATTACATAGTAGTTGTGTGAATTGGCATAATCAACTAATCTTATAGTTATTGTACTATTCCTATTATATCAGCAATTTCAGAAATTTATTGAAAAATTAAATCAGATATTATGAAAGCACATTATAAACTCTATAGTGCTGTGAAAATACTATTATTATCTTTTTTTTTTATCACCCACAGTGGCAGTGTTAATAACAACTGGCTACTGTACCTTCCCCCATATTGTCATAAAGGACATTTTCTCTTTATTCTTAGAATCGCATGGCAACTTTTCAAACATGTAACTTCCAGAAAGTCGCTGGTTCAAAATTTGGCACTATAATTGTTTCTCTCACTACATGGGAAAAATAATTTAAATTTTATAGTAATACTAAAGAAAATTGGTAATAGGAAAACAAAATGGCAATTTAATTTGAACATTATGTCTTTTTGAATGCTTAGAAATGTGCAAAAGGATAGTGTGAACACATTTTCTTTTTTCTTAAATTTCAGTTATCTACCTCATATTCTACCATGCCATCTTTGTGTTTTTTACCTGGACCTACTGGAAGTCTATTTTTACACTCCCTCAACAGCCAAATCAGAAGGTAAGAAAACTTATATAATAAAGAGATAATAAGCAAATTGAATGTCACACCGTTGCACAAGATGGCCGCCCCCATGAGGTCACAAGATGGCTATCACAAGATGGATGGCAGGGAAGGGCAGTTGTGGTGATCAGGCTAGCAGAGGAAGGCAGTTAGGGGAGATCAGGCCAGCAGGGGAGAGCAGTTGGGGGCAACCAGTCTGGAAGGGGAGGGCAGTTGGGGGGAACCAGGCCTGCAGGGGAGGGAGGGCAATTGGGGGGGGGGGACCAGTCCTACAGAGGAGTGCAGTTGGAGGTGACCAGGCTGGCAGGGAGGGCACTTGGAGGCAAACAGGTCTGCAGGGGAGTGCAGTTAGGGGCAACCAGGCCTGTAGGGGAGAATAGTTGGGCGTGACCAAGCCTGTAGGGGAGGGCAGTTGGGGTGACCAGGCCTGCAGCAGAAGGCAGTTGAGGGCAACTGGGCCTGCAGGGGAGGGAAGGAAGTTGGGGGGAACCAGACCTGCAGAGTAGGGCAGTTAAGGGTGAACAGGCAAGCAGGGGAGGGCAGTTAGGATGGTCTGGGCTGTCATGGGAGGGAAGTTAGGGGTGAATGGTCCAGTAGGGGAGGGCAGTTGGGGGTGACCAGGCCAGCAGGAAAGGGTAGTTAGGGGTGACCGGGCCAGCATGGGAGGTCAGTTAGGGGCAACCAGGCCAGCAAGAGGGCAGTTGTGGGCAACCGGGCTGGGAGGGTATCAGTTAGGCTGACATGGAGTAGTTAGTGGGTGATCAGGCTGGCAGGCATAAGTGGTTAGGGGCAATCAGGCAGGCAGGCAGGTGAGCTGTTGGGAGCCAACAGTCTCAGATTGTGAGAGGAATGTCTGATTGCCAGTTTAGGCACAATCCCCTGGAGCCTAGACTGGCAGTTGGACATCCCCTGAGGAGTCCCAGATTGGAGAAGGTGTGGGCTGGGCTGAGCGACACTCCTCCAGTGCACGAATTTCATGCACCAGGCCTCTAGTCCTGTATAATAAAAGCTTAATAAGCAAATGATGGAGTGGTGGAATGACCAGCTGAACAACCGGTCACTATGAGGCATACTGACTAATGGGGACAGATACTCAACGCAGGAATTTTCTCCAGACTGCAGTCCCCAGGCCAGCTAAGGCAGGTGCCAGTGGTGGTAACATAAGCTGCATCTTGTGGAGCAGGTGATGGGTGAATGGGACACAGAGGAAAGTGACCAACAGTGACGGAGGGGTGGGGCCGGCGAGCAGGTGGTGCCAGGCCAGCCAAGGTGGGTGCCAGTTGGCACCCCCCTCCCCCAATTTTCCCATTGGTCGCCCCACAGATCAGTCCTGATTGCCAGCCAGACCTAGGGACCCTACCTGTGCAGCAATTTCATACACCAGGCCTCTAGCTACTTCATAATGGCTAAAACCAGAACAAAGTAGAAATGCCAGTATGGCAAGATGAGGGCAGAAAGAGAAGCAAAAAGCATTCTGCTACAAAAAGGAGATTAAGTGTAATCTTTATAAAACAATTTTTAGTGAACAAGACAGGGATGCCCACTCTCACCACTCCTGTTTCACATAGTACTGGAAGTATTAGTCATTCCAATTAGATAAGAAGAAGAAATAAAAAGCATCCAAATTGGAAAAGAAGAATTAAAACTGTCCTTATTTGCAGATGACATGATATTGTACATAAAAAACCCAAAAGACTCCATAAAAAAAACTTATAGACTTAAATAAATGAATTTGGCAATGTAGCAGGATACAAAATTAAGGCCAAGAAATCTATGGCCTTTCTATACACCAATTGTGAACATATAGAAAGAGAGACTAAAAAAAAAACACCAAACATCCCACTTACCATCACACCAAAAAAATTAAGATGTCCTTCACTTTGAGTTTAATTTGTCAGATATAAGTATTGCTACCCCCGCTTTTTTTTTTCTTCATTTACATTCACCTGGAAAACCTTTTTTCCTCCCTTCAACCCTAATCTGTGTGCATCTTTTTTCCTCAGGTGGGTTTCTTGTAGACTGCAGATATATGGATCATGTTTTCTTATCCACTCAGTTACCCTGTCTTTTGATTGGGACATTTAATCTATTTATATTTAACGTTATTATTGAAGGTTACTTGTTTGTTGCCATTTTTGTTCTTTACCCCCATGTTCCCTCTTTGCTTCCTATTTTTTTGTTCTGTTATAGCAGACCCTTTAGCATTTCTTTCATTGCTGGTTTGGTGGTAATAAACACGCTTAGTCCTTTTTTGTCTGTGAAGCTCCTGGTTTCACCTTCAGTTTTGATTGATAGCCTTGCTGGGTACAGTATTCTTGGATTCAAACCCTTTCTTTGCATGACTTTGTATATTTCATTCCATTCCCTTTTGGCCTGATGAGTTTCTGTTGAGAAATCTGTTGCTAGTCTGATGGGGTTTCCTTTGTATGTAACTTTCTGTCTCTCTCTGGCCACTTTTAAGATTCTTACTTTGTCATTGGTGTTTGCCAATTTAATTATAATATGTCTTGGTGTTGGTCTTTTTGGATTCATCTTGTTTGAAAAAAAGAAGAGAAAAATAAGAGTGCAAAAATGAAATTGGGAAAAGGAAAAAAAAGAGAGAGAGAAAATAGAGAATAAGAAAGAAAAGGAGAATAAAACTACATACAGTGGTGCCTCGCATAAAGAACGCCTTGCACAGCGAACGCTGCACACAACGAACTTCATTTCATGATTCATACAACGAACTTCGTTTCACACAACGAAGTCGCCCGAGCTTCCATGACCGCTTTGCCCGAGCTTCCACGATCGCTGCCGATGTATTGCATCCTTCCGCGCAGGCACTGCAGGCAGTCGTTAGTCACTGCGCTTAACTTAAGCACGTATCGCGGCAATCGTTCTTCATTACGAATTAAATCACGCACGTATCACGGCAGTCGTCCTTTTAAGTTAAACTCAATATTTTTTTTATATCATGATGTATCTAAATAAAAATAATAACAAAAAATTTATCTTTTTTTATGTCATCTTAGCATATTTTATGCTACAGAACGAATTATTTTTTTTAACATGTATTGTTATGGGAAAACGCGTTTCACATAACGAACTTTTCGCATAACAAACTTGCTCCTGGAACGAATTAAGTTCGTTGTGTGAGGCACCACTGTATATGGGTTGAAAGCTCCAATAGAACAGCCACTAATCATAACAGATGGCAGTAACAATTACCTGGAGATGAATGCAAACTACACCATCAACTAATATCAAGTAAGATGAGGGAAAACAGAAACAAAAATCAAACAAAACAAAACAAGAAAAAAGAAAAAAAGAAAAGAAAAAGCGAAACAATCTCACAAAAAAAAACCCACGCCATTAAAAATAGATATAATCAACAATCAAGCAAACAACAACAAAAGGACAGAGATAAAAATTTTGTATAGTGAAGAAATAGAGGAAAGAGGTGTATATGGACTTGGAGCAGGGGATTGGAAATTAGATATATAGGTAGGGCAAAATTTTAACAGGGGGTGAAAAGAAGGAATAGGGAAAATCTAAAGCAAGAATGAGGTAAGACAATCAGGACAACAAAAGGGGGAAAGTGAGAAAGAGAGTGATGGAATAAAGGGAAAGTTGAGATAGGGTAAAATGATGCTAAAGGAGAGATGAAAATAGAATGTTGAACACTAATCCCAAAGTAAAATAAAGAGAAAATAAAATGACACTTATTTTTAAAAAAGGTAAAATATGATAGTAATAATACTGATTGAAAATAAAAATGTAATAATTAAAAAGGTAAAATCAAGTGAGAAAAAAAACCTAGTTTCTCAAGAAAAAGATGAAAAAAAATTTAAAATCAAAATGTGCAGTTTTGAAGGTCATTAACTTCCTCTACTGTTCTGTTTGGCACGCCTATTTCCTAGTCATGACAGTATTGAAATTCCTTTTGTTCCACTGCTCCTCAGTGTTGTAAGCCAGTCCTGATTTTTAAGGAGACAGTTTATTTGTGTTTACACAAGAGTCAATTTGTGGTTCAAACCCTGGGTGGCAGTGTTTCTGGATTTACCTCTGGGTTTATAGGTCCTCTCTAGCTAGTGTTTAGATATAGTTTTCCCTGTGGCACTTAATGCTGGTTTGGGGATGTGTGTTGCCCCAGAGCTGGTTCTCTGATGGTTATTCCCCACTCTGATCCCCAGGTTCTATTAGGTCTAGTAATAATTAATGTCGTTTTCTAATACGTTTTTTTAAATCGAATTTATTTAAACAATACAACAAAATTTAATCAACAATATAGTTGCCTTGTTTTCTACTACTTGTGCCCAACGCTCAGGAAGCATTTTAATCCCTCTGTTGTAAAATTCTTGTGATTTTGATGCAAAAAATTCGGTCAATGCATTTTTGAGGCATTCTTCATTATTAAATTTTTTTCCAAGAAGAAAGTTTTGCAAAGAACGAAACAAATGGTAATCAGAAGGGGCAATATCAGGAGAATATGCGGGTTGAGGGAGAACTTCCCATTCCAACTGGCGCAGTTTTTCAGCAGTGATTCTTGCAGTATGCGGTCGTGCGTTATCGTGGTGAAGAATTACGCCCTTCCGATTAATCAGCGCATGTTCTTTTTCTCTTAAAGCTTGGGCTAACTTTTCCAATTGGGCACTATACACTGCACTTGTAATGGTTTGGTTAGATGGTAAAAGTTCATAATGAAGAATTCCTTTAAAATTCCACCAAACACACAACATCACTTTTTTTCGCATGCAAGTCAGGTTTTGGCATGGGCTGCGGAGCCTCATTTTTGTCCAACCATTGAGGCTGCCTTTTCAAATTAACATACAGCACCCATTGTTCATCTCCGGTAACAATTTGCTCTAAAAACAGCAAACGGTTTTGACGAGAGAGGAGCGAACTGCAAATTGTGACTCTTTGATTATGGTTGTTGTCGGTCAACTCATGAGGAACCCATTTTCCAAACTTTTGGACTTTGCCAAGTGCACGCAATTGATTGGAAATTGTTTTTTTTT